TAAGCCCGTCCTGCCAAAAACAATGGCTGGAATATAACCACCTCAGAAAGCTATATTAAGGAGGTCCCCAATCCATGTCAGTCTCACAGTAGGCTAGCAAAGCACCGTGCTATTGACCAAGATCTCACAAGAGGGAGATCCAGACCATCAGTAAATGATTCGCTAAAGAGTGAACACAAACATCATAGTCCGAGATCAAGCCTGATGTAAGCGGTAGCCATAGCACTAGAGGGCTGGACACAGCTATCCTGGAATAGCAGTTCTCTCAGATAAGGCTGAAGATTACCCAGGCCACGGAAGTGGGCCATTTATTTAAAACCCTGAAGGGGAGACAGCACAGTCCAGGCAATGGGCTCACAGAGACCACAATCTAAAAACCCCAAAAGGGAAGCGGTCTCCGTGCTGGAACACAGCTATCCTCAAATAACAGATACCTAAACAAAAGCTTCAGCACTTACTCGAACACTTGTGCCAAGGGGAACCCAACCTAGTTATTAGAATCTAGGCTAGAATATAGCTGCCCTCAGACTGCCATATTCCAGAGCAAAATATATTCCCCATAACCACTCTAGGTGCTGAAAATCCTGGGAGAGAAAACTCGCAAGCCTCTCTCCACAGAATATTTAAATATATTCACGCCCAGCGAGGCTCTCCACACACAATAACATGCATATTAGAGAGGCACGGCCGATCATACCGTGATAAAAGCATTAGCAATTAACCACAACATGAAAATTTGATACCGGCATATCCCTACTCTCCACACACACAATAACATGCATATCAGAGAGGCACGGCCGAGCTGAATATAGCTCTGCCCACGATCTCGCAGGATCAGGGCTGAAACGACTCCGTGCTCACACTTCATTGTCATAACAACCCAACAATATCTGTGGCATCTGACAACCCGTATAGAGAGGGTGTGCAGATGCCGCAGATCAAAGTGATGACCGTGAGGTGAGATAAATTGTGCCGCGGCAACAGCGGAACCGGGCCGTGAGACACAAACACTCTGTTCCGTATCCCTCGGGAATAAGAACAAACGCGAGCGGAGCTTAGACATCGTGACTCATCACAATGAGCGCGTAACTCTGAACATGCGTGCTCTTCGCCGAGACAAACGCAAAAGCAGAACATACCCTCGAGTGTTAGAATCCAAACACGGAGGCACACATTCCCTAAGGCGCTGCTCGACTCGAGCGCTATCCGCGGAATCCGATAACCCAAAAAGGGCATCTTAACCCCGCGAATCCCTCGATCCGAGTCTTCGCCATGCCTCGGCAACAGCGGGACCCGAACCGCTAGACGCAAACGCTTGTCACTCATCCAATGAGCTTCTCATTGGATAACACTCACAATGCGCGCGTTCAGAGCCCTCGAGCA